CAGTTATTAATGTAATTTATAATAATAATTGTATGCATATCTCAGTTTTGTAAATTATAATTAAAATTATTCACTTGTGAGTTGTGGTCTTTCTTTATAGCTATATTACTATATTATTAGTGTCGACGTGTCGTATGTAGGTATATAGTCATCGTACTGTCGTCTTTAGCTATAACTTTTTGTTTTGTATATACCTATCTATTTTGTTAAACATTTAAAAATTACATAACTATTATTATTAGAAATTCAAAATAATAATTAGCTCTAACTAGGTCGATTTTCATTAAAATGGCTATCTTGGAAATTTAAAAAACTTATTTTATTAATAAATATTTTTGGTAATTTTTGAATTTTTGAAAAAAAAATCAAATATTGTGCTTTTCAATCAGAATTTCCATACTTACTACTGTCAAAAACCGGTATTTAAATATATTGATTTTCACTCGGAGATACTAAGGGTGATACCATTTGGGACTATACGGTGTATATACTATAAATATTTTTCATCTGCACTACATAGGCGCACATTGGGTGTGGATTTTGGGGGTGCTGGAATAATGTATGGTTCATAGATCCGTGGGGGGCTTTGCCCCCCACACCCCCCTAAATCCAAATATTATAATAGACTTCATTGCATTAGATTTAATTTGTATTTGAATCAAATAGTTTGTATGATTGTAAAGAAGACGCTAGGTACACCCAAATGTGATGCATCCGTATTACAAACGTAGGTAGGTACAAGTGTACAACATAGGAATAATTAACTGTATAAAAACCACTCGGGCTGTACTCTAAGCTAAGAAACTAAATTTCCACACTATAAAAATGAGAAAATTTTCTGTGTAACATTGTTTTTATATTTTCGATTAACTAATAATTAGGTAATTTTTCATTTTTAAACTATAAGAACTTTTTTCGTATTTGTGATATCGAAATATTAAAAACAATGTTGCACAGTCAATGTTCTCCTCTTTCTAGTAGGAACATTAGGTTGCATAACTACTTGAACTATAAACTGAGTAGTTCTTATCCGCCCAAGCCGTTTTACTATGTTTTACATTTGTAAAACGGAGACCACACATGAAGGTGTGGCATCTTTTTAATAATATTTGTCATTTCGAATTTATTCAATTCAGCGTAGCCCGCGCCCCGCAGAATAAATAAATATATTATTAAAAACCAAGTAATAACCAAAGTTATAAATAGAACATTTTGTACCCAACCGTGAACCGTAAGATAATATAATTTTCTTTAATAATATGATATAATATGATTGCTGCTTATTGTTTAATGTTTTGACAAAAACAGAAACATTGAAACGTGCATTCACACAATACTGTTTTAATCGTGAATTCGTAAACAGTTGTCAATATTTGTAATGGAAAGAAAAATTTCGAACCAATAAACCACAATAATTTATAAATGATTGGTGAAATACTGAAATAAATTGAGGGTGCTAGTTTGAAGCTTGGGAGTGCTAAGCACCCCCAAGCACCCCCCTATGTGCGCCTATGCTGCACTAGCTATACCCAAAAACATAATATATATAATTCTTGAATTTTCCTTGTAAAGGAAACATATCTAGGAGCATGCTACTATTTAAATCAAAAAATATAAAATAAATAATAACAAGCATAATATATTTCTTTTTCTATTAGTAGGCCTGTATCAAGGGGAGGGCTAGGCCATATCCGCAAATTTGAAGGGGGCCACAATAAGTATCGTCTTATTTTTTTCAGTATAAAAATATATCTTAGCAGACATAGTCACATAGATATCTTGATATTCGAATATCCAATATATAATTATAAATAGAAGAAAGTTATTAGATTAATATTTTAAAATGCGTTGTTCAAGCTATTCGTTTTCTCTCGTCGCGATGTCTTATATTTCGAGGTATAGTCATTAAGTCATAACTCATGAAGTAATTGGAGTTGCAGATATGTTGCTTTTTTCTTTATTTTATAGTTGCTAAATGCGATAATGCCGTGTTGACGTGCTCTTCAACACATATTGAAAATTATGGCAATAAAAACAGAGGCAGAGTATGAGTATCAATTACATATCAAAAACAATTTGTAAGAAACTTATGATGAGTAACATATCTTCAATAGTTTTTAATCTTTCGAACGTTTTTCCAAATATTTATGTAGCATTCCAAATTGTTTTAAGTACCTTTACCAAATACCAGTTATCAACAATGAAAGTGAACGATTCTTTTCTGCACTATCAATATGTTCAAAAATAAATATCGTAGTATGATGGGTGAATCAAGACTGCCATCTCTATCAATAATTTCCATATAATTTTATTTGACAAGGAATGTTTGGTAGGAAGAAATCATGAGAAAATTTGCAGAGGGAAAATCTCAAAAAAGTGTTTTGAAAATTAACTTGATCAGAAATTCATATTAAAATAAATTAGTAGGTATTGTGATTTATTATTCTATATATCAATGTGTTCCGTGAAGAAGTGACCGGCCTGTGTCATAGGTTAGTATATATACATTATACCTATACCTTAAGTTATAAAAAAAAACCTTTAAATGGTCGGTCTAACTCTATAATTTTTTTAGTTATGGGAATTCAACTTTTTTTTAAACAAGCAGAACCTACCACGCATTGTATCTTCAAAACTTTTACATTTTTATCGTATAATTTTTTTTAGAATTTTACTGTGCTATCAATTAACATACACAATTAAACCAGATAGGTTAGGTTACACCCAAAACCCCCTTGTATGCCACTGCATAGGTGTACAGCTTTTTTTATAGTACCTACCTAATAAATAATAATTAGTTTGTATTATTAACGACAGGTTTTTCGAGGGACATACTTCTTCGTCGATTTCGGAACCCAGTTCTTTAACTTCAAATCCTGGAAGGACGAAGGACTCTGCGTACGTACTACATGCTTTGTTCTCGTTGGCGCGCCGCTGTTGCTTTTCGATCTGGTCCAACGCCTTCTTGGTCATCTGTTGCCACATGAAATCCTCCAACACGCGTCTTTTGCGCTCTTCGATTAACAAATATAATATACGTTTTAACCATTGTTAGAGCACGCGAGAAAAAGTGAATTTAAACGACAAAACCCTCCAGCCCATTTGTGCCCCCCCCAACACACACACACACACGGAAAATTCAAGTTTTTATGACAATCGTCCTTGCCATGCAACTTTCAGATTGCAGAGACTCACCGCTTTCGGTCTCTATGGGGTTTTCATCGAGCTCCTTCTTCGCTTCCACAACAGCGTCGTAATGTTCTCGGGTGACCGAAGGCTTTTTGTATTCATTTTCTCCGCCGGGCGACGAGAACATCCATCGTTGACTGTGCATTTTTTTCCCCAAACAATTTGTTTTGATTGGTCAGTTTTATTCCGCGGCTTCCAATAATTTATCATATAACGGACAAACCACAGCTACAATTACGTTACAGACGTATGTTTATTTTCTCTAGCTATTTTGTGTATCAGCCAGCACGCGTAGCAACCCATAATACCTATTATATATCAGCTATACATGAAACAGAATATGTTTTAATAATTATAAATTAATAATCTGTATGCAATAGGTATATATAGGTAACTATTTTTTCGTAATTTTGTACTTTTTCAGGAGAAATTTATAATATGATATAATATACTGAGTACCTATATATACTTGAAACTTTGAAATGTATATTAAAGCATTTTTCAGAATTAAAATATTTCTAAAATAGGCTCATGACATGACCTGTGCACATATATATATATAATAAATATATAAATATATATTATTTACACAAAGACTTTTATACTAATTTACTAAAGTTAGTATCTAATGTAGAAATCCGTGTAAATGCCCGGTTCCATAAAAGTCATTCATTTAATAGGTATCTAAGTGACCTAAATAGGTAGTGGCTTGGGGAGACCTAGTCCCCCCCCTATATTTCTGCCAAGTCACCCCAGTACAAAAGTCAGTAATTAGTACTAAGCATATATAATTTTTAGAAAATATTATAGGAGGAGCTTTAGCCCCCCCCCCAAAAAAAATAATGATTATCTAACGGCTCATTTAATTTTTAATTTTAATGGCTCGTCAAATTAATGTTACATTGCAATATAATTTAAAATAAACTTGTCAAGAAAACGTGATATCCACATGTGTTGTTTCCGTCTTACAAGTGCGTAACATTGCAAATTTTACGATCAGCGGAACACGTGTGGCTCCGTTAATTTAAAAATTAGAGTGAATTGACCTCTTATAAAATTTAAAGGTAAGTTTTCTATCTAGGCAGCGTCATGGGCTTTTATTATATTTTAACTTTAAAGTGAATTATAAGTATTTTGAGATGTACAAACAATTTACAATTTTAAAATACTCATAACTCCCTTTAAAATTAAAATATAAAAAAAGCCCATAAGGTTGGCTAGATTATAATCCTACCTTTAGATTTTATAAGAGGCCAGTTCACTCAAATTTTTAAACTAACGAAGCTACACGACGTATTCTGCTGAGCGTTAAATTTGGTATGTTACGCACTTGTAAGACGGAGACAAGACGCCATGCAGGTATCACATCCTCTTAACAGCTGAGTTCATATTATCACAATGTTTTTATCGTGATTTGTTATTGATAAAACTATAAAAGTATAGAATAACAATAAATATTAAAAAATAATAAATTAATTATCGATAACACATTTTAACGAGTCTTTAAAATTTAGCAATTCGAATGATCCGATCGGGTGATTAGGTACCTACTGACTAACTAGTAACTAGAAGACTATTGAACTAAAATTTAACGGGCTAGGCATTAAAACGGCTAACGGTCCGTTAAACGTTTAAAAATCTTTTATTCAACCGGGCATACATTACAGAAGATAAGGTCCGGCGACTGTCACCCGACCGACCGCCTATCAAGGGAATTTCAAACGTCTACGGGACGTAGTTATGGGAGACAAGTGATATGCAAGTTCGGACTTGGTAAGCTAGACCTTTCACCGTAAGAAAATTCTTCTGCCATGTTCCTGTACTTGAGCAAAAAGGTGGGTTATATTAATTGCAAAAAAACCGTTATTATTATGATACGATTGTCGTGTTTAGATCGCTATACCAAACAACACGAAAATCAACTGTCTCGAATGGAATTCGAGTCAGGATTGCATAGCGGTGGGTGGAGACGATGGTCTTTTGAAAGTGTTGAAAATCGATTCCGGCACTCCAGCAGATGGTAAGCCCAGAGGACTGGCAGGCCAGGCCAACCTATCAATAAACAAAACTCTTGAGGGTCATTCCGGTAATGTCTTGACTATTGTGTGGAACGAAAAACACAACAAACTGACTTCAAGTGACGAAAATGGGCTGATTATAGTTTGGACTTTGTATAAGGTGTCTATAAATAATACTAATACAATATGGTACAAGTATCTTTAGTTATATACTTCTAGTTATAACACTAACACATGTGTTTTAACCAACCCCCAGGGAACTTGGCAAGAAGAAATGATTAATAATCGTAACAAATCAGTCGTTAAAGGTATGGCATGGAATGGAGAAGGTGATAAAATTTGTATTGTCTATGAGGATGGTAAATATATATTTCTTAATTTAGCCATTCGTTTTGTATAATTAATACGTAATTATATATTATGTACAATTTCATTTTAGGAGCTGTTATTGTCGGTTCGGTTGAAGGTAGTCGCATTTGGGGCAAAGAATTAAAAAAACTCATGTTGACAGGCGTCCAGTGGTCTCCAAATTCAAAATTCCTTCTGTTTACCATAAAAACTGGCGAAGTTCATTTGTTTGACAGTGATGGCAACTTCATAGTATGTATATTGATTTTATAATGGATCAATATAATTACTGGTTTTTTTTCAGTCCAAATTGGGCATGGTGTGTCTACCTGTATCTCTTAATAATGTGCCAATTACTGCCTGTCATTGGCTCAACAGAAATATAAACGATTGCCCACAATTGGCTATTGCATACAAAACGGGACACGTGCAACTGATGAGAGACCAATATGATATGAGTAATACGTTAAAAACAATTATTTATTTTACACATGACTTATAACAGTATTTTACAATAGATCCAGTAGTTTTTGAATGTGATATGTTGATTGTGGCTATTAAATGGAATCATAATGGCAGTGTTCTGGCGTTGGTCGGTACATTAATAGTTGACGGAGATGTTAAAGAATCCAATGTCCTTCAACTTTATTCACCTTTTGGAGAAGTAAGTTTTATATTTTATAATAATTTTGACATAAACTTTAATATTATTTTATTTTTTTCAGCATTTGAGAACCCTTAGAATTCCTGGTTACATGGTGTCGTCCTGCTGTTGGGAAAGCACATCGTTGCGTATCACCTTAGCTATTGACAGTTTTGTTTACTTTGCCAATGTACGATATGATTACCCTTGGTGTTATTTTGCTGGCACAATTGTCTATGCATATAGAAATCATGAAGAAGCGGTCACAGAGATTACGTTTTGGAATATAAAAAAAAATGAAGTGGGTACTTTTTCAAATATGTAATAGAAAATAATATTATTTACTACAACAAAAGTTATTTTCCCCGTATATTTTAGTTTTATCACACAAAATTTGATTCATTGCTATGTATGGACGCTTACAAAGATCATTGTGTTCTTGCTGTACGAAATAATAACGATGAATCCAAACCTTATACCCTCATTATTTGCAATAATATAAGCACTACAGTTGATAGTAAGATTTTTATTTTTATGAAACTTGTTTAAAAAATAAACCTATTCAATTTTGTGTTATTTATTTTGTAGTCAAACACATTAATTTTGAACCAATATGGATTACAATGAATGGGACCCTTGTAATTGTTTCTTCACACACAAGCTTCATGACTTGGCAATACTCTGTTCCCAAATCACATTCTGCATCCATAACAAATAGTAAATTATCAATTCATTATCTACCCATTGTATATACATAACATCCTTTATTGTATTGGTTAGTATATTATGTAAAACCTGTTTATTATATGGATACAGTTAAGCGCAAAAAAGTGAAAATGTTTCACATTGATGATACTCCTTCTGGTGTTGATGAACTCACTCAAGAATCTAGGGATTTCAAAAGCTCATCGTTTCAGAAAGTAAATTACTTTTAAAGATGCTGATATCAAATATTAAATTTTTAAAATATGGTATTTAGGAGACCAAGGATCGTATAACTTGTATAACAGCAAGTGAACAATATTTGTTGATTGGTAGAGAGAGTTGTGCTTTGCAAAAATACTCATTACCACAGGTGGCTTTAGTGGAAAGGAAAATGTTGTCCTCTAAACCTTATAAATTGGCATTGAATTCAAATTCTAAGTAAAGTTTATTTTTTATATATATTTGTTATCTGGATATTGTTAAAATAAATCAACTATATTTATGTATTATAAACATAAATTTTTTTTATTCAGGAGATTGGCTGTCATCGATTCAACTGGAGTGCTAACACTTGTAGATATCTCAGAAGATAATGTTGTGAAGGGATCAACTGATTCCGAAGCTTCAAATTCATTCCAAAGACGAGATGTGTGGACTATGAAGTGGGCTTCAGACGATCCTGAGCTCTTAGCAATAATGGAGAAAACTAGAATGTATGTCATTAGAGGGTTTAACCCTGAAGAACCAATTAGTACTTCTGCTTATATCGCTTCTTTTGAAGTAAGTTAAATGGAATCTCACGTTTTTATTTAAAAATGTTTCTATTTAAAAATAGTGATTGACTAGTCTAAACTTCAAGAATCTTATGGGAGATTTATAACTATTTGTATAGTTAATGGTTATTTATTTTGGTTTATTTATAATTACTAGAATAAATACAATTTTAATCACATACAATTTAAAATATTAAATCTAGGAATGAAATTGATATATCTAAACTGTAAAATCAGTTTTCTATTGGTTAGAAAAACACCACTGTGTAAAGTTTTGAAATTGTTGAAAACTGTTAACTATAATGTTATACTTTATTTTATGAATATATATTTTTTAAGAATTTAGAAATCCAAGCAGTTCTGTTAGACGAAATTATTCAGTCTCCAGAAAACCCTTCTCTTGATTATGTTATCACATTGGAAACAAAATCATTGCGAGACACAAGACAACTTTTGGAGAAAGTCAGCATAGGAGAAGCAATGAAATTTATTAATGATAATCCACATCCCAGACTATCGTAAGTAGGTACTTATAATTATTAATTAATTATTCCACTTTCACTCATCACAATCAACAAAATAACACTATCTTATTAGATCGTTGTATTGGTTTTGAGTTCAATATTGCATTAATTTTAAATTGTTATACTTGCAAGGAATATTTAATTTAATCTATACTAATATGTAATAACTAATTTGTCAGTACGTGTTCTAAGATAAATTAAAAGTTAACATAACTTTGGGTCTGTTCTTAGTTCTAAAATAAAAAAAAACACAAAATATATTTTGAAATGTATACTTAGTTAAGTTAATTTTAAGAATTTGATACATGGTAACCGCAAACAGTATAAATATAAAATAATTGTTATTAATCATTTTTAATAATTTACACTATTTTTTTTAGGAGATTATTAGCTGAAGCGTCATTGCAAACTTTAGACCTTTCAACAAGTGAAACTGCATTTGTACAATGTAAAGACTATCATGGCATCAAATTAGTAAAACAATTAGCTAATATAAATGATATCCTTTTAAAAAAAGCTGAAGTAGCAGTATATTTTGGAGATTATGTGAAAGCTGAACAACTATATATTGAAGCTGATCGAAAGTATGAATTTTATAATTTTTGTTATCAGTTATTTTGACCATTATTTTTATGTTAGTTTTTAATAACTGATCATCAATTATGTTCCTTCTGTGTAGAGATTTGGCTGTGATTCTATACCAGAAACTAGGCAATTGGTTTAAAGTTGTTGAGCTGTTGAAATCAAGTTCCTCGCTTCTGGGTATTTCCGGCCTCACAATGAATTTAGCATGGCAAGGGATTGGCGATCATTACCTAGACAATCAGCAATGGTCAGTACTAATGGAAAAAAAAAAAATATCTGTACAATATAATAGTATAATAGTTGCTTACTAACGTGATCAATATTTTTTTAACTCTTAGGGACTTGGCTGTTGAATACTATAAAAAAGCTGATAACCCAGAAAAGCTGGTCGAATGTTATATAATACTCAAGGATTATGAGTCATTAGCATCCCTTGCTAAAAGTCTGCCAGGAAACCATCCATTATTGGAAACAATTTCTGTGTTTTTTGTCAACAGTGGAATGGCTGAAGATGAGTCTATAGATCAAAATGTAATGTTGATTATTCAATATAAATATTTTGTGGCTTTGATATGAGTATAAATTTGATTGTTTTAGTTTTCAAAACGGGCATTGACGAGTGTTGAATTTGATACGAGCAAATTAAGTGAGCTTATGAAATGTATGAATGATACCAATCGTGATCAGTGGTTAGACAATGTCAAAGATGTATTGACAATGGTTTCAAAGTGCATAAACGGAGAACGATACACTGAAGCTGCCCAATTAGTATTTGCTGTAATGATATAACTAAGAATAGCCCGTTTCCTCAATGCTCAATACTATTACACATAATATTCTTTAATTTCAGACTGTTTGTCAAGAAATAAAATATGATATTCAGCCAAACATTATAAGACAGTTAGCTACTGCCGGTGCGCTATTGATCGAAGAGTACAAAGAGAAGAACATTCGATCTGCCGAGTTAGATGGTAATTAGTTCATTTCCATTTAACTATTACCATATTTTTAATATACAAGTTTTAATCAATATTTAGTCGAAGAAATTTCAATGGACAATTTTGGTATTAAGCCATTTAAATCTCGTGTTGAAATGATAGAAAATAGTTGGCGTATAGTTGAATCTATACATTTTTTAATACTTGCCCAACAACAATTGTATAACGGTAATAAATACTTCAATCAATTTATTTATTTATAATATTCTGAAAAATGTGCACAACATTAATTATACTTAAACTACTTTATGATTTTAGGGGACTTCCATTTAGCCCTTCATACATCATTAACACTTCGCAACTATGAAGACATGTTAAACATAGAACAAGTATACTCGATTATAGCATTGGCAGCGATAGCAAACGGCTCGTTTAATATCGCATCTAGAGCTTTTATGAGACTCGAGACTATAGACACAGTAAGTAGTAATTTGTGTGTTTACAAGTCTCATAAAAAGTTGAGTTTGTTCAATTCTGTTTTTCAGAAAAAAAATTACTATCAATTGTCATTGGTCATATTTAGCAAGTATGCTCCCAAAGACTCTACTCCGTTATTCATTCAATGTTACAGTTGTTTAGACAACTTTCCAGCTTGGTAATTTTTTTCACATTTTAATGTACCCAATATATGCACACTTTAGTGGGTTTAAATCTACAAGGATCTTTTGTGTATGTTACAGGTCGTTGAAATGCCCAAGATGTAAAATCAAACCCGAAGCCAATATTGTTACGGGTCAGCCACTGACAGATATAAAATCTCTTTGGTGTTGCAGACAATGCAAACGCAACGCAACAATTATAGATATGGGACCATTGAATTATTGTCCGTTGTGTAGGAAAGAGGTTATTCTTTCTTTTTAAATTATTTTACCTCTCAAGTTAGGAATGCACATTACACTTTCAAGTCAAGATTTGTACACAAATTGTTGTGCTGTTGAAACTAATTCCGTCCATTTTACACTTTAACACGCACTATGATAAGACTGAACAAAATATAAACTTGTGAGTTAAACATTATATATTAGTTAAATAAACAATAATATATTCAAACAAGTTTATAAGTGTATAGTATATTTTGCATTAACACTAAAAGATTGAATACAATTAAATTATTCTTGTAAACAATTGTTGTTTAGCCGTGTATACTTTTCTAGTCAAAGAATATTATTTTGATTATTTACTATAATTGATTAATTAAATACATAAAAAACAAACAAAAATTACATTATTCGATCTATATTAAACAAAGTTATGTAGAATGTAATTAAAAATACATTATACTATCTAATTAAATTGGAATGTTACAAAATTGCAGTAAAAACTAAATATATAATAGTGGCATGTGTTTAAAATATTAATTTAAAAAGTTTAATAGGTTATAGTCTATAGATATTGTAATTAACAACATCACAAAAATGTACTATTAAACAGTAAGAAAATAACAATTATTACATAACAAATCAACCTCACAAGCATATACCTAATAAAGGAATAGAAAAAATTTGAATGACAATGTTTTATTATTATTGAACCCATTCAAAGATTTAAAATTCTAAATCATAGGTACATAAGACAATAATCAATAATAGTATCTTAACAGTTTTATTTTATGGTTTTTCTTTCCAAATACCATTGTCACTAATTATTATTTTCACTATTACAATATTATAAATTATAGTTATCATTTCATTTTTGATAAAATAATCAATGCAAAAATTATTTTTTTTTAATTTTTTGGTATACAAGGGAACGGATATTAAATACACTAATTATCAAAATACTATGTATTTAATGCAACTTTGAATGGATTAAATAATTTGTTATTTTATGTTTGAATTGTATTTGATATTTTAAACGGTTCTAACTTTTCAGAGTAATTGCATATTATTAAAATTATCATATGTACATTTAATACCTAAAACATATACTAACCTGAGATTTATAAGACGAATAATAATTCTTTTAAGCCTCAATTGTTTCAACCTAAGAAACAAGTATAATTTGAATAAATAAGGTAGAATATTAAAAGGTAATTTCTGCTTCAACAAAGCGTTCCTCCAAAGTCTGTTGGTGATGTATCTGTGTCTTCATTCTCGATATTGGTAACTTGCTCTTTCTATAAGTTTAACAGTTATAAATTTATTTAAATAAGATACGTAAATTAAATGTTGTAACAATTATAAGACAGAAACAATAATAATTATAACATACAGGTTCCACTATCCATTTTTCGGCCAAACTCTTCGCGAGTATTGCAAACTCTACATCCATGTGCTTAATAAAAGGACTGTTTAACATTTTCAGTATTTGAGCACTATCATGATCGGAGTATGCATTTACAATACTGTCAAGCATATAAATCTAATGACATACAAAAGTTAGTGTTGAACCTTGTCACAACAAAAGTATTGCAATGTGTACCTCTGCTTGTTCACAATATTGCATTCCATATTCGTGCAACACTTTTTTAGCGGCCACATAATCATCTTTAGCCAATTGTAGTAAAAATAGTTCAACAGTTACTCTGCCCATGTTGGACGTTGGACCTCCTTCTCCGACCAGTTCAAATTGACGTTTTATTTCATTTTCAGCTTCTTCATACCTAAAAAAAAAAACAATTTTGATTACTATGAATTAATAGAAAATAATGTAGTAACTAGTTGGAATATTACCTTTTCAATTTTACCAACAGTCGTGCTACTTTGTGTGTGTATTCCATTGCTTGTCCAGTTGAATCTTCAATCTAAAAATATTATTATCTCTAAATAAAAGTTTTTGGTACATTCTAAATAGCTTAATCAAGTGTTGTAATGTGGACAACAATGATGGTTTTTTAATATACCCCAGAAATGTTTGAAGCTTCTTTTAAGAGCTTGACGGCTGATTCTGGATCTGACTGTTGTATCATGTCTGCAACTTTGTTCAACAATAATGATGCGCTTCCAGAGGATCCATGTTGCTGGTAATAATGACTGGCTTTCATGGCCAATTTAAACACGTCACTTGTGTCCCCTATCTCCTTGGACATAATAATCGCCTGATCCATACACCTTAACAAAAATATTATCAATCTTGAATAATTAAAATAAAAACCGAGTAGGTAACTTACTTGGCAGCATGGAAAAGTCTAGTATGTATAATATTAAGATAAATTTAAAAAAAATGTCCCTATCGTGTCGTATGCCCTCTACTGAAAATATTGTAACTGTAGTATGTGCTCTACCTCAAGTCCTCAAAATACACTCCATTCTAATTTATGTAATACTTATATTTTAAAATTATTCTATTAAGTACCTAAATCAGAAATACCAACATTGAGATACGGTTAAAATTAAATATAAATCACATTAACAATAATAGTGTTCAGATAATCTGAGCTATTTGTCGTTGTTGTTTCGCAACGTGTCTGGTAAGCATTAGGCACAAAATAAAATATAGGGGGTATTAGTACTACTCACAGTGGTAGAACACACACCCTACAGCAGCTATAATCTAGATGGCAACCTGCAGTAGAGATCAAATGACAATATTTTTTATAAGTTTCTATTTCACAGTTTTGATACTCATTGTAAACAAAGGATACGATCCATTTTGTAAATAATTTTCTGACGCTTTCATAAGACATTCCTTGCTTTCCTTATACGATTTTCCAACTCGAAAGCAAGTAGCTGAAAAAAAAATAAACTACAATTTTACTTTGTACTTTTTCAGGAACTAGGTTTAAGTAAGCAACTGCAGACACTTGACTATATCGATCTTCCTTACAGGTCTTAAGTCAGTAGGAAATTCAAAAAATAATATTATTGTAAGAACAAATTTGTGAAAGCTTAATAATTTAAAAAACAATTAACATTTAAATTTGGTTTGACGGTTTGAAATCATTAAAAATGATTTTTAAAATGAATTAACAATTTATAGAAATTTGGTAATGAAAAAATTGAATGACAAGAATATTGTAAGCTAAAATAATCTTTAGCACTAACACCAACAGTTTGGATTTGTTTTTCAAATAGTACTCAAGTTGGAGAAATTGATCATTCCTTACGTGTGTTAAATTATCAATTTATAGACACATAATAACTAAAAATTACTGTGGTACCTACCTATTATAAGTTATAACTGCCTCTCGGAAGATCATTAATAACTTAGGAAATTGTTGACACTAATTTTGAAACGCAACAGGTTTTTCAAAATCTCATCGAACACTTGAACAATGTAAATTTCTACTGACTGCAGAGTCACGTAAAAGTTACTTTTAATGTACCTACCTGCTTTCGAGTATTCGTCGGCTGCACTGTCGTAATCGGGAACCCATTTCAACAAAGATGTCTTCAGACTAGAAACAAAATGACAAATTGAGTTTCAATCGATAAAGAAATTAAGAATAGTTTTTAGCAAAATAATAAAAAAAACATTTCGTTTACTATTTCGCAGCTTTGTCCATACACTCCCTTCCCTCTTGGATCTTGTCTTTGGACATGATCCACTATACCTCAAATCCCAAACAAACAAATAAAATCCTTACAAAACCGCGTCCGTGACTTGTGAGAGTAAAAAACAATTTTAATAAAATATAATAATATTATGCATATTATGTTTATTACAATTTATGAAGAATCTAATATTTACTATATTCAATATTTACTATTATTTACAAATGTCGATCGACAATGAGTTCGAATGATTACGAATCAGTGATAACGAACTATCAGCCATTATCACTATAGATAATAAAGATGATATCATTATCAATAATAAGTTTTTAACTTTATTTTTTTTTTCATCGAGATGAGAAACGACAACGATCAACGCATAGATAATAGCGGATAATAGTTTATCTATGGATTAACGAGAGTTACAAACATAGACCTTATGAGTTATGATTTATACCTACCCACGATTTAATATATTATCTGATTTAATTTGTTTCGCGCAAGTACTAGGTACTTTAGTTGTTTTCAAATGTAACCGATTTCTATGACCGCCTCAGCCGGCGACGACCGCTTCGAGGGAAGTCAAAACGCACGAGCTATTCATGTTTTTATTTTATTTTTCAAAGTTAAAAATTTTAAATATACGTGAACAATTGTAAAATGTCTTTGAAAATGTCATTTACGTTAGAAGAAGACATACTGTTGGCTGAATACGTAAGCAAACATCCATGTTTGTATGACTCAAAAAATGCAGAATACAAGGATCAACAAATAAGGGACAATGTCTGGAAGGAAATATCAAATATCCTAAAAAAAAGTGGTTAGTATACCCAAACACTATACAGGGTGTCTTATGTAATTGTACGCGGAGGTTTTTAACGATTATGGATCGATGATATAGAATTTCGTTAAAACGAAAAAAGACGCTTTTCTATCTTAAGCCGTGCTTAAAATCTACTTATCTACTTCCCATATTTTTGATTTTTTGATTTTAACTTCTTCAAAATTTAAATACGATAATTTTTAATTACTCTTTTTATACAACGTTTTTAGGAATTTGGTGGATAGGTAATATAAAAAATGTGGGAAAGTTGATTTCAAGTAGACGACGACAAATTCAAATAATCAAATCTGTTTTCAGAATTGCTATCGCTTCATCAGATCAATTGGTACGGTTGACAAATAACAATATAACATGTATAAAATACTTATAGTTAATAATATAGCGACTTTTTGTTCGATGACAAAACCGGTACCCCCTCAGACCGCCGGGTGGAAATGTTTTATTTGTGCCTGTCAATCAGTGTAGAAATGTAGACTGTGGTATTATGTAGTTGGTAGGCTTTAAGATTTAAATTATTGACATCTACATAAATATCTAGATCAAAATGTAATATTCTGTCTTCATATTAAACTAATTGTATATATTTTACTATTCAGTAAGTCATATTTAATACCTACATAATATGTTATTGTGTTTTGTGTCTGAACTCTACACTGGTATCAGTGGTATCACCTATCTATACTATATTCAATTACATTTATATCTTTCTTTGAAAGAATATATTAGGAGCTGTCTTTTAAATGTTCAAGTTTTTTTGCTCAATAAATAAAACGTGATTGATATTTATAGAAAAAAAAACTAAAAAATTTGGAAACTGAAAATGTCCGTAAACAGCTCAAAATATTTTTAAAATTGTATTATGTATAGAAAATCGTAATATAAACATCTACGTTCATTTGTTTTAGAATTACACCAAATTGATTTTGTCGAAAACCGATTTTGCGTAAAAATTCCCGTTTTTCCTTAATTTTTTTTTGTTTTTTATGGCGCGTTTGAAAACTATTCGGAATGTTTTACTTTTGACCCCCCAAAGTACAGGCTAGATTCACTTTCATAACAGAAAAGATACTGTTGAAGAAAATCTAAGAATTTTTACTGTCCTAAAAGGTGATGACACACATAAAAAAAAAATTTTAAATTAAAAAAAAACATCATTGTAAAATCCAATATTCATCGCTTCGCTCAGAATCTAAAATATCATTTAAAATACCATAAAATATGGCTTATATTTCGAATGAAGGCCTGTGCAGCATAAATTATTTCATCTATTTTTGTAAGTAAAATTAATTCAAATAAAGTGATAAAAATAGTTTTGCTTTTTAAAATTGTGCTTGGTATGCACTATGTATAGACATTATTTGAAGAGCCAAAATAAAAAAGTTTAGCCTCCTGGTATGGGAAACCATGTCAATGTGTCTTAATTATTTTCTAGGTTTTTTTTGTTTGAAATAGGGGGCCCCAAAATTTGACTCGCACCTGGGCCTTTTTATCTCTAGTGGCGGCACTGGTTATGTACTTAGGGGAAAATGGGGGAATACCGGCCAGTGGGTAATACCGGTCACCTTGTTATCCAATAATCCAGTGCATCTAAAATTATGTTGAAAATACAAAAATGTTAAGAATTATAACAAAAGCTTATTCTTGTCGCAACGATATTATCAAAAGACTTTTTTACGTTCAAATGTGTGAAATTAGTTTTTAGAGATAATTTTTCTTAAAAAAAATGTCTTTTGCAATCTTAATTAAGGTAAAAATATTTATAGTATATTTCTACTTTATAGATGTAAATATAAAACAGAATATGGAGATTATGATAATGCATTCAAATCATGTAATAGTATTATGGTTTATCAATGAAAAAATATTTTCTAATTATTTGTCAAAAGGGGAAATACCAGTTAGTATATTTAATATAATATAATGTGTGTTGATAAACAATGATACAACTCAGTATTATCGATTGGCATTTGTTTGCAGTATATATCTAATATCTATGAAGAAACTTTTATTTTAAACTATTATTTCAAAAAATAATGATTTTTAAAAAAAAAATGTTTTCTCAATCTTTTTGCATGTGTTTTATATGTGTTTACTTTTTTAAAAATAAAAAACCGGTCAAGTGCGAGTTGGACTCGCGCACCGAGGGTTCCGTACAAACCTGTAGATATATAAGTAAAAGTTCAACCAACACGACAATCGAGTCATAGTTATGGTATTTTTATTGCAAAATGAAATTTATAACATCAAAATATGAAAAGCTGGAGGATCATAAATTAATGACAAAGGTATCTTTATCGTTCCAGTAATCCTTCATTTTATGTCTAGATATGTTGATATGTCTACGCGTTCATGAGGAAAAGGATAATAAGTTTAAAATTATTTGAAAAAAAAAAAAAATATGTGATCTAACTAAAAATTTAAGGTTTTCGGAATTTTTCTGTTATATGTGTGATAAAACATTGCTTCATGCCGAATTTCGAGATTCTAAATCGACTTGAAGTACCCTATAGGTTTTGATTCCCTCGCAAGTAGTCGCGAGTTTGAAAATATGCGGCTTAAATTGTTATTATTTCTTTCGATTGCGTTGACATAAAAGTTTGATTTTGTTACAGTTTAAAGGTATTATAGACTTAAGTATTTAATATGAATTTTTATTTAATACCTCAACGCGTTCATGAGATAAGAAGTAGTAACTTTGAAATTTTCAAAATTGTCAAAAATATTTTATTTTTATATGATGAAACTAAAAATTTATGGTTTTCGTAATTTTTCCTGTATCTGTACTGTAAGACATGACTTCGTACGAAATTTCAAGATTCTAAGTTCACGGGAAGTACCTTGTAGGCTCGCCTGTAGGTTTTGATTCCCGTGCGAGTTTCGAAAATTTGCGGCCTAAATGGCTGTATCTTTTGATTGCGTTGGCTTAGAAGGTTGATTTTTCTACAGCTTCCGGGGACAGTAGACCTGAGTATCATATAGAAATTTCAGTTTGATACCTCCACGCGTTCCTGAGAAAAACGGTCTTGACAGACGGACGGACAGACAACAAAGTGATCCTATAAGGGTTCCGTTTTTTTCTTTTGAGGTACGGAACCCTAAAAATTAAAAAAAAAAATATTACACTTAACTTTAAAAATTTGAAACATATATGTGGTAGCTAATAACTTTATAGTTCTAATTTAAGCGATAATAAAATATTTGGATTTTTATTACCGGAGATACACGACGTGTTCCCGCTTAGGTGACCGGTATTCCCCCATTCTCCCCTATGTATAAATTACTTTATTCACAATAATATCGTCAAATATACTTAGTAATATCAGGCTGACTGACCGTCTTCGCTCAGACTCGTTTTTCTTATACAATGATATTATATCATTGAATTAAAATTTAACACTATACATTACTACATTACAGTGAACAAGTAACGATCACGAAGTAAATAATTATGAAGGCAACACGGAGTCAACTCCAAGTTATCAACTGTATCCGTTTATAGAATACTATTATAGAAAACTATTCTCTGTAGTTATTTTTGCCCGGGAAAGCCTCTGCAGGTTGAATATGGTCTTTTCATAATCTTTTCTAGCCACAATCTTTGATAAGGACGAATTAATGCATTATAATATATTCATATGTCGGTGTAGGCGAAATGCCTCATCGCCAATATGTACTATAAGTAACGGTATATATATGTATATTTGAATCCGGCAGTTTTTCCAGAGAAGAAAAATAGTTTGATAGACCATATTTATTAATTATTCCACTGCCCCCTTCTTTGTCAATTGTCATAGAATCCAATCCGGGGAGCCGGACGTTTTGGCGTTTCCGTATTGGCGTATATATTTAACAATATTTAATTTTATAATTGTATAAGATTACAACAACCGCAACACACTTAGTTTTTAAGGGACATATCTCAAATTATAAATTGTTACTAAATTCTAGTAGCTCTCTCTACCTACTTTATTATATGTTCATGATTATTAATATTAATTATTATTATACTCGCACATACAACTACTGGCCTATAATAGTCTGCTTTTGTAGTCTACAAACATTTTATATCACCATGCATGTTTAAATAAAATTGTTTTATAAAAATTAAATAATATTGTTAAATATACGCCAAAGTGGCCACTCCAAGATATCCTAAATCGGACCCAATGTTCACAAATATAATCTTACAATTAGAGTCCACAATTCCTTGTAGTTATATAATAAGCTTCCTCTTTTCTTTGAAGAGTGTGTTTGCTTTGATGTTTATAGCACCAACACAGTCGCGAGTAATAGATACAAAATCTCCTTTTAAATGAGGCTTTAATAAGACAGGCGTTAAACGAATACTTAAAATCTTTTATTAATTCTTAATTTTATTATACGTGTAAATTTGGTAGGTATTTTTGACATAGTATAGTTAAGGAATCCGGTTCCAGTTTTTCTAATTTTCTGCATTTAAATTTTATTTTAAATTATTTTTTAGTTGCCACCTTAATTTTAATACTTTTCCACTAATCTACTGCCCGATATTCATTTAGGAGGGGGGGGGGGTGTTGATAGGGTGTCTTATATTGAAAAAATGATATCACCATCAATCATTATATTATATATCAGTATGTATAATATAATAATATACTTTTATTTTCTGTGTAATTTTAGTAATTTTAATATTTGAATGGATATTAACTATTATAATAATTTCAGTTGATGATTGCAAAAAGAGATGGAAGAACATGAAGGATACGTATAACAAAAATAAAAGGAATAAAAAACTTGGGACAGGATCATTTTTGAAAAATAAACCAACAAAATGGGCATTGGCAGGTACTTTATCATTTATGGATGTATGTTCTTACGAACAAGTGTGAGTAATTATATAATAATTATTTAAAAAAAATTCAGTTATAGAAATTGACCATTAATAATAATTAACACATAACTAACTATTTGTATTATTTTATTTTATTTTTTAAGGGGAATGACTAATTTTAAGAATGAAATGAATAATAGTGAAGAAGAAGATACCTTAATACAGGCTGTTGAAGATGAAAATAATTCAAATTATGTAAATAATTGTTCATGTATATCTACAACAGAACCCACTATGGAGCAACCTGAACTAGAAAATATTTTGGAAACAGAAAAAATAAAGTTGTTCAAAGAAAAAAGGCCTACCAAAAAAATAAAACGTGTAAATGAAGAGTTAGTGTCAGTGTTCAACAAAAGTTGTGATGAAAGACAAAACATTTTAAACACCATAAATAAAGATGAGAAGGATGAGGATCCAACTGATGCATTTTTTAAAACAATGGCAATAACAGTAAAATCCTTCCCGCAACATTTAAAAATAAAAGCTAAAAAAGAAGTTTTCAACTTAATTACAGATTTGGAAATAGAAAGCTACAATTCTACATCTACATCAAAATAAAAGTATTCAATATATAAATAGCATATTTTCATCTCCAAATCCTAGTATATAGTCATCATCAAACTTAAGATTCTCAACATATAATCATCAAAAACAATATGTTTTGCCAGGGACCATCCTAATGACCAAACCTAATGAACGTCAATCTGGAAATTGGATACTGTTTGCAGGACAAAATAATGACCCACTGAACCACTTCAATACGACGAAAACCAGTACCAAGAGTAAAAACATGATAAGGTCTGTTTATTTATTATTACTTATTAGTATCTATTTTTATTGTTTAGTGTATTATATTATTATTTTTATTGTTTCTATTAAAAGTATGAATTTTTGTTTATTTTTAACATATTTTCACAATGATATTCGGCAAGTGCAACTTTTATTATAAATTGTTTATTTTATTTTATTTTATCTTTAAAATTTAAAAACTTTATTAATTGATTGTATATATGTTTATTATTAATAATTTTTCAACATGACGGAAGTGCGGTGCACATTATTTTTGGAATTTGTAAAAGTTCTTTTTTTATACTACATTGTTAATTTTTAGAAACCGTTTTTGTTAGAAATTTTTAAGATTAAAAAAAAGCAGTTCACATAAAGGCATATAATTGTGGTTTTCCAGGAGCCAGGGGAAAATGTTTGCAATTTTACTTTGATAGGAAAGTGAATCAAGTTGTTGCATTTGGGAGATAAAAATCACATAGTCTCATTAGTGTTCAAAAGCGCCTTAAAAAAAAAAATAAGGAAACCTGGGAATTTTTACGCTAAATAGGTTTTCGACAAAATCCAATTTTGGTATTTGGTGTAACTCTAAAAATAATGAACTTATATTCATGAAATATTCATTGGTTGTATATATTCACATTTTCTATACACGATAACATTTTCAAAATATTTTGATTGGTTTTGAACTGTTTAGAGATATTTTCAGTTTCCAATTTTTTTAGTTTTTTTTTATATGAATATCAATACAATTTTATTTTTAAGTTAAAAAAGCTTGAACATTTAATATGTGGCTCCTAATACATTGTTACAATCATCATCATCATCATAACTGGCTTTTATAACTCTATTAGAGTTTTTGCCGCCAACACTATGTCCCTCCATTTCTCTTGATCTTGTATAATTTCCTTCCATTCTTTTACTCCCACATATTTAAGATCCTCTTCTATTATGTCAAGCCATCTCATATTGCATTTACAAATAAAAAAATAATTTCAAATTGACAACACCTAAAGCATGTAATTGTGACGCCACTTCTATTCTTTCATTCTGCCTAATATTCAACTTTTCATAAATCAACCTTCGAGTTTGATAGTTCTTTCTTAACATTTTGATGGACATGACTGGTATAGCATTCGCCAACTTGGGGAATAAATGAAAATAAAACAAAAAAAATGATGTAAGTTGTTTAACTGCAAATAGATAAGTTACTTTATTAAAAATATATTATTATAAGTATTAACAAAATAATATTTAAGTTACAACTTACAAAAGTTTAAGCTCCAATAATAAAGATTCATGCAATAACAAAATATACAAAATTGAAAATATTACAATTTATATTATTTACTTGTGGGGGAAATAAAATACTTGTTATTTACTTAAATGTACAACAGCGTATTTGCCATTAACTTGCCAATAATTAGTGGAATTAAGATAATTATTGTCTTTATCATTTTCATCAATTTTGGTTTCATAGTCAGAGTTCAGGCCACATACACAGTCACATTTTAATGTACGTAAAGCCACCACAGCGGTAGGTTGAAATCTACACAAGGCATCCTTGAATGTAGTTGATGGTTCCCAATTGATATCCCCAATTAGTTTTCGGTAATTTAAATCACCTACAAAAATTAAAATAAACAATATACAGTGACATTAAAAAATGTTCTCCTACACTGACTAAAAAAAAATATAATAATATATTCATTAAATTGCTTTTAATCAAAAGCTATGTTGATAAAGTCTAGTTTTTATGAAATATAAAACTAATTATCCGATTTTAACCAAAATAAAACAGAATATTATAGTCAACTCCTTCAAATCTACAAACTTTTTATTAATTCATTAAACAAAAAAATTTTAAAAGCATTTTAAGTATGCTTACTCTTCCTTCTACAATACCTTTAAATATTAATAACTGAGAAGTTGTTAACTTTTTATATAACTCTGAATCTTCATTGGCCATTGCCGAATAACAGTGAGGTAAGGTCCAAAACTCCTCACACTCAATCACAAATTTACCTATAGTGTACATTTAAAATCAAAGATTAATATTTAAGTAGGATTTTTTTTCAAAAGATCAACAATTAAATATTATAGTATTTACCAGCTGTGTAATAATTGTTCCATCTATTTCCAATTTTTTGAAGGGCACTGGATGTGCATTGTTTTTCTAGACGATTTAAAAAATGTTCAAAATCTGGTTTTGTAACATCGGAGACATACCAAGGGATAGATTTGCCATGAAAGACAACAACTTCGGCAAATCCATAAGTAACAAAAAAGTCTGCCAAACACATTTCCGTAAAAAGTTCGTAAGCTGAATTGTCCAAAATAAGATCTGAAATAATTTAATTACCTAGTTTAAATGTATGTATATAATACTATATAACATTACAAAAACATCAGTATAATTAAGAATAATAATAAAACAAAAACATAGTTCCAATAATATATTATTATCAAACATCATTATTTACCTATTTTCTTGGGATTTTTATCAATTGAAACATTCAAAGTGTTCCAAATATCATCTGAATGATCAGCCAAAATATATTTATCCAATGACACAATAGCTTCTAACGGATCTTCGGTAATGTTTTTTGATTTTCCAATGTTAAGAGACAAATCAAATCTATTTCCCCACAAACAAATCTGTCAAAGAAAAATAATTGGTTAATGAATATATTGAACTAGGTATTTATTAAATGCAGGGAATCATAAAAATGTATTTTATTAAAATATTTTTTCATAACTATCATTTGTCATTAGTCATTACATTAAATATAATGATTCCAAGCATTAAAACTCACCTTTAACATTTGTATAAAAAGAGCTTTCAAACTTGTATTATCTAATTCTTTCTTGGAAAATTGGAAAATTAAAAATTCCGCTATAGCTATCATAGTTGTTTCAGATTCATCAAAAGCATTGTACTTAAGTTGTTTAAAAGGGTCATAATTTTGTAATGTTTTCCTGTTTAGGCAAGTAAATTAAACATACTTCTTTATAATATATGTATTAATGTGTGTTCATTCATTTTTTTTACTTACGTTTTTTCAAAGATCTCTTTTAATCTTATGTACAAATAATTCTCAGTAAAAAGCCATTCTGTTTCAAACCATGTTACAACAGAATCTGAATTAAACTTTTTTTCTAGTATTTGATTCCACATCAATGACAATGTAGAAGTACTATCAATTTTTCGTAGAGGATTATTGTTCAGTATTTCAGAAAGTAATAGTTCCAATTTGTCAATAACATTGTTTATTTCTTCTTTGTTTGCCTATAAAAAAAAAATATATAAATATACGTACATATAATAAATACCTTTAATAGTTTTGTTATTACCTCACACAGTTTTAACTTAACAATATCTTACTAATTTTTACAATCAATCCTTTACAAAATAACTTAATATATTAAGTTAAAACGTCAAGCCTAAACAATATTTTAATTTAGAAATAATAAATGTTATTAATTTGAGATGGATAAAACAAAATATATAGACAATATATATATACCTATTACATAAACACAATAAATAAATAAAGTTCTTACCAAATTGAATTGTTTGGCTTTTAATAAACCAGTTATTTCAGAAAACACGGTCGGCATTCTACGCATCAGGGAATGATACCCAAAACTTCTGTAAAATCAATATCAATATAAATTTAAATCAGATCTGAATTCTGCAAGATCAATTATCATTCATAATAGTATAATATATATTTTAAATTTTAATACATATTCAAAAATGTAGATGGTTACTGATTGATTTCAATTGAAATTTATAATAATACACTTAAAAATAAATAATACCTACAGAAAATGTATTTTTAACTAACAAAATTGTATGTTAATAGGTTATACATTTAATACATATTAATTTTAGTTTTATTATATATAAATGTAAAAAATCTTACTTCATGTACTTTCCTCTTAATGGTTCATTTTTCGGTGTATTCTGTTCCAAAAATTGATCAATATTACAAGCCATTGTGTATTCGTGTTGGTAAGTTTTTGTTTTATTGGACGTCTATCCGTATAACAAATAGGTACAGAGAATAAGTGTACAGCATATAATAAGGACCTACCGCAATAATTTAAAATGTTAATAATTGGGAATATTTAAATGTTATTATAATAATAGTCTCTCACTACCTTATGAACTGATCATTTAAGTTTCAAATTTGACATTTCCATTTACCGTGACAAGATACCATAGGGGCATAGATATAAATTATAACAATTAACAAGGTGTATATAACTATATTGATAGTTATTAGTTAATACACCTTGATCTTTAAATTACTATCACTATCACTGGTTTTTTACAATTATCATCAGATATATCACAATAAATTCTAATTTTAATTTTTAACATAGACTTTACACATAGATGGAGCATGCGCGGGCCGGCGGGGTTGAGTCGCGCGGTAACGGCAAATTGCGTTGCAGTGATGTACTGATTTATTATTATAATGAGACGGCGCTACACGGACATAATATTTTTATGTCTCCGTCTTACAAGTGCGTAACATGGCTAGATCGGCAGATCACGTTTAGAGCTCTGTAGTTAATTTTAAAAATAGAGTGAATTAACCTCTTATACAATTTAAAGGTAAGATTATTATTAGGTACCCTGGGCATCTCTCATAGCCCATAGGCTCTTTCTTATATTTTTATTTTAAAGCGAGTTTTGAGTAGGTATATTAAGATGTACAAAAACCATTTACAATTTTAAAATTGGTACTCATAACTTGTAAGAAATTAAATATTATTAACATAAGGTAATAAAAATGTTAATATTCAAAATTTAAAAATCTTATTTTTAACTTTTTAAGGGTTAATAATAATAATAATTTTCTTTATTACGGAATAAATTCCAATAACAATAAGGCTCGGGCCACACGATGCGTTGTTTCCGCAGGCATCGAATGCGGCGATTCCGCATACGGCAGGGTTTGAAACGAAAACACATTGTTTTATATACAAGCGTCCACACGACGGAAATTTCCGGAAATTTCCGCCACCTACCGGCTACCGCAACATGCTGCGGAATTGTCGTATTGCCGAAACCGGACATAAATGAAAATAACATTATTTTAAATTAAGCCGTCCACACGGTATGGTATTCCGCATGCGGTGCTGAAAAATTTTAATTAAATTGTATTGGTGAATAGTGCTAAAAATTTTTAAAAAATGTTTGATTACCTACCTACGAAAAAATGATTATTGAAATTGAGTCGAGTCCATGCTTATGGGATGTCGGGTCAAAAGAGTATAGCGACAAACATTTAAGGGCCTTTTCTTGGAATTTAGTCGCTGAAGCCATTGTATGCCGATTGGAATGAGCTTTTGCCATCACAAAAAGATGAAAGAGGTATGTTAAAATAATTATGCCTAATCCTTTTAACATTTTTACTTTGGTAATTAAATTATTATTTTTATTTTATTTCTATACCTGCCTGGCTGCCTACTCAATTACTTTTGAGTAGGTACCTATACATAATACACTACTTGTTGTTACCCTCTACAACTTAATTGTACTTAATCTAACAAAGTACAGTTATTATTTTAAAAAACAAAATAAAATAGAATAATAGTACATTTAACTAACCTTTTTTTTAACCGTATCTATTACATAAGTCTAGGTAAAAAATTACCTAATATATAAAAGTCGATTAGGTACAAATAATTTAGGATAAACAATTAAAAATATATAATAATTTAGGTATAACAACAAAAAATTTAAATAATAATACCTAATGGTTAACTATATACCTAGTAATAATTACTAATTATTATTATACCTACTATGTTTAATAATATTAAACATAGTAGGTATATTAAATTAATATACTTAGTATTTCAATTATATAGCTAACCTATAGCTTACATGTTAAACAATTTTTGATTCCCAATATTATTATTTAATTGCAATTTTTAAATAAATTAGTAGTATTATATAATAAAATTCAAAAAATTTTTGAAGAAATATTCGAATTGAGCTGTAAAAGTTTTCAAACAAATCCTTCTCTCTTTTTTGGTTGAGTGGATGTACCTACCCAAAACTGTCTTGACTCTTGATATAGTCGGTGAAGTAGGTTCATCTAGTTCACCGGATGCTTCCGCAGCGCAAATAATATTTAAAAGAGCACTCATAGTGAAAAAATCAACCATACTTGTCGTAAGCAGAACTTTGACTAGTGCTATGTCAGCTGGTCATGATAGCGTATAATATTAGTATTTAGTATTTTTGGAATTTAAATCAATTAAATGTACTATTTATATTATATAAATAAATACATTTTTGATTTCACATTCGGCAATTCCGCATCGTGTGGTCGAACACTGTTGTTGCGGAATTTCCGCATTCATATTTTCCAACGCGGAAAAAACACATCGTGTAGCCCGAGCCGTGATCGTGAGGCTGATGATGTATATTTAGAATAAACCCAGCGAAACTAAAGAATTTTCTTTGTACCATTTCAAGTTGTCGAGAGTTGCCTGCGGTATGTGGATTCCAAAGAACAGCACCATACTCTAAAATTGGACGGACAAAATAAAACATCATTTTATAAAATGATAAATGTTTTATACATTATTATTTATTATACACTAAATTATTATTACTTTTTTGAGATATTGATCATAGTTAGTGTAAAATTATAAATTACACTTAAGTAAATGTGGTGTGTGAAGAAAATTATTATTGAATTAACCAATAGCGTTATATAGTTTATTATTCAAATAATTAATTGTTATATGTAAGATCGCTTATTTAAGTTCGATAAGTTGACCTGTAGACTGTAGAGTCAAGGAGAACAATAATGAATACAAAATTAACTATTTTATATTATGCTTACCTGCAACTACGAACTACCTAAACCAGTGGTTCTTAACCTTTTTTAGTTCAGCGCCCCCTTTATCGTAATAACTTACTGCTAACGCCCCCCCCCCCTCAAAATCAAAATTTCTTCTAATTAAAGGTCCCCACACACTGCAGCGGTGGCGGTGGCGGTGGCGGTGAATTGCTGTAGGACACATTTCACCGCTCACCGCGGCGGTGAAGCCAAGACAATAGAATTTAACGCCACCGCTGCAGTGTGTGGGGACCGGGGATTCGATACCGTGATTTTCTGTTTTTGTCTAACACACGCTTGACATAGTATTTTAGACGTGTTTTTTGCCAAACATACCAATTGATCTAATGAAGCGATAAGAATTCTGAAAACAGATTTGAATTAGTCATCAAGTCTTCTTGAAATCGACTTTCCCACATTTTTGATATTATCCCCCAAATTTTTTAAAATGTCATATTCAAAAAGAGTATTTAAAAATTCTGGTATTTCAATTATTGGAGAAGTTAAAATCAAAAAATCAAAAATGTGGGAAAGTCGATTTGACGGCAAATTCAAATCTGTTTTCAGAAATCTTATCGCTTCAATAGATCAATGGGAATGTTTGGCAAAAAACACGTCTAAAATACTATGTCGCCCGTGTGTTAGACAAAATCAGAAAATCACGGTATCGAATCCCCTTAAAGTTTAATTCTTCAAGAAGTTCTGGACAATCAATCATATTATGCAATAATTTGAATAAGAACCTTAAATTTAATGTAAGGTATCTATTTTTTAAAGAATCAATTCTAAAAAGGTGGGCAAGTGGGTGTCGCTCTGCTGTACAGTGGTTACAAGTGGGTCACTGTATAATGGATGATATTAAATTTGAATTCAACGATATAATATCATTGTATAAGAAAAACGATTCTGAGCGGAGACGGTATGTCAGTCTAGGTGTAAGACATAATATTATATACATATCTATGATATTAAACAAAAAATTGACCTACAATAGGTACCTATAATAAATTCCAAATTAATCATATCACAATATCCATTAGGTACTTATAATGCGTTATACATCAACAAAAACCGGGATACTATCATAGATATAAAATAGTACACTTTAGAAATTTCAAGTACCCACGAATAATATTATTCAATCACAACAAAATAACTATAATAGTTATTCTAGGTTTTAGATTCTGAGTGAAACGATGAATGTATTGATTTTACAATGATATGTGTTTTTTTATTTTTTTATTTTTGTGTCTGTGTACACGATAAGTAGTCGAAATAATGCTTCGATTTTCGACTTCAGTATCTTGTTCGATTGGAAAGTGAATATCGTTGGTGCATTGGGGAGGTCAAAATTTAAAATTCCCAGTACTTTTCAAAAGCGCCAAGAAAAACAAAAGAAAAATTAAGGAAAAACGGGAATTTTTACGCTAAATCGATTTTTCAGAAAATTGAATTTGGTTTTTGGTGTAACTTTAAAACAAATGACCGTAGATACATGAAATTTTCACTGGTTGTTTATATTTGCATTTTCTATACCCGATAACATTTTCAAAATATTTTGATTTATTTTGAACTGTTTAGGGACATTTTCATTTTTCATTCTTTTTTAGTTTTTTTTCTAGAAATATCAATAAAATTTTATTTGTTGGTTAAAAAAACTTGAAAATTTAATAGAAGGCTCCTAGTATATTGTTTCAAATTCAGATGAAAAATATTAAAAATCGTTAGTAGCAGTTTTTTTTATAAGCATTTAAAGTTCAAAAATTGACAAAATATGGAAAAATCACGAAAATTAGCAAATTATTTTGAGTTAAGAATTCGTTAAGATTTTTCTTTTTAAATCTAAGATTTGAAAATGTAATACAAGATTACTCAAAAGTTTGTCTACCTTTATCAATAAAAAAATCTCTACCGCACAGTCAAATTAAATTTTTATGAGCGTTTGAAATTCAAATTTTTACAACATTGGATGTTCACTTGATTTCTCATGTAGCGATTTCCTTATTTTGTTGTTATTCATAAACGAATAACTATAGATACATGAAAATTTTACTGGATGTTTATATTAGCATTTCCTATACACCATACAATTTTGAAAATATTTTGACTCTTTTTGAGCTGTTTACGGATA